AATGAAAATTCTCCCTCTTTTTCATAGGCAAGACAGTCTCAACTACTGACTTCCAAATGGAAGACCTTTCCCAACACAGCCTTGCATTTGATCATTAATACAGTAAATATGCAGACAGTTCTCCAAAGGATTTTAAGCATTAAGGCTAGGCACTGTGCCAATATATATAAATATTTATACTTACCCTGCACTTAAGTACAAGCTGCCTTTTACTCCGTAATCCTCTTCATATGACCTGCTCTCCATCCAGCGCTCCAACAGTCCTGACAGGCAGATAAATACGACCTGATCAGCAAATAAGGAACAGGAAGTATGTTAGTTCTGTATATGGGACCACTACAATCCCTTTTGAAATTCTGTATATTCTTCCACATAGGACACTTACAATATTTTTGTTTTGGCTCTGTTATCATTATCTACATGAATGGAATCATTCAGTTCCTGGAATATCCACACAGCCAAGAAGGCTTGCTTTTTCTTTAGTAAAAGCTGATGACAAACACAATCAGCTAAAACCTTCAGCACAGACTATGGGATTATTAGCAGCCTCCAATGTATAGTGTTGTCAGAGAAACAATCAATTTGTCCTCTCAAAACCTGGTTGAGTGGAAGAACAATCTTCTTCTTGCACAAGCAAATATAAAGGGTTTTTTTGTTTATTTATTTGTTTTTGAGATTCTTTCCCTTCTTCCTGTGTAGTAGCAAAGAACACTGCCTCTTACCAGCCTATCTTAGCTTTCATCTTGTGATTAATCACAGTTCAATATTAAATTATTCAGGCTGCCATTCAGTGTGACAAGCTGCAGTGTAACAAGCTGCAGTGTGACCTCAACACAGGTCATCAACAGATTACAGTTCAAAAGGGTAGTGCAAAGCTCCTTTACAGAAGGACAGAATGGTGGGGGTTGGACAATACCTCTGGAGATCACCTAGTCCAATCTCTGCTGCTCAAAGAGCGGCATTAGGCAGAAAAGGTTGCTCACGACTTTGCCTGAGCAAAAGTGTTTTAAGCATCTCCGGAGATGGAGACTCCACCATTTCTCTGGACCAGTCCAGACAAGGACTTCTTAAGTTATTGTTTTCAGTGGGAAGGCAGGGACAGAAACAAGCGATCCCAAAACTTCAAACCCATCCCCACAGCGGTCCGGAGCAGCTCGAGGCCAGGCTCCTGCCTTCCCAGGGCCGGGCTCTTCTCTCTGCGGGGCACCCGCCAGCCGAGCACTGCCCTGCCCGGCGGCCCCGAGCGCTTCAGGTCCGGCCCGGGCACCGCCTCGCTCTGCGCAGGCGCCGCTTCCCAGCCCGCCCCGAGCGCCGGGCCCTGCCTCACAGTCGCCGCCTGGCGGACACGGCCGGGAGCGGCACTGCAGCCGCGCGCCCCCCCCCCCCCCCTTGGCGAGACGAGCGGCGCCTTTCGCGAGTACGGGCCTTTCTTCCTTAAAACCTGCCCTTCCCTAGGGAAAGCTGAGCAATTCACAGAGTCGCTGTTTCCACCCCAGCTTCCCAAAGGATTTCTCTCTCCCGGCAGCACAGACAGGGTCCCCGAGGCAGCGCAGACCCTCCCCGCGGGGGGGGCGGGGGGGGTGTGCAATGCCAGGGCACATCCGAACCCGGCCCTGCGGCGGCACGCAGGTGCAAGTTTCTCCGCAGAGGCGAGAAACTTGCCTGTCGCTTCCCCTGCCTGCAGCCCGACGGCCGCGGGAGAGGCAGAAGAGCGGCCGCGCCCCCGCCGCGCCCCCGCCGCTTACCCCCGGGACGATCTCCGTCGGATCTGCCGCCGTGGGTCGCTTCCGGGGGGAAAAAGCGGCGGCGCAGCCCCGACAGCATCTCCAGGGCACGGCAGGACCGAGCGAGAGCGGGAGCGAGAGCGAGAGCGGGAGCGGGAGCAGGAGCGGGAGCGGGGCGAGCGGACGGCGCGGCGTTGGCGCCTAGGGGTCCTCGCGACTGCGCCGCGCGCCGCGGCGCCGAGAGGGGGCTGCCCGCGCCGGTGCCTGCCGCCGCCCGCGAACCTGCCGCCCGCGCCTGGCGCCGCCGAGCGCTCCGCCCTGTCCGCACAGCGGGAAGCGGCGCGGCGAGACGGTGCTGCGGGCGCGGGGCGGGGGTCCGGGTCGCGGTGGAGGTCAGGCAACAGGATAGACGCCTCTCTGAGGCAAGGGGTCCTCTCGCCGCCATCTTGAGTGTGGTCTCGGCTAAGCTGCGGTCCTGGCGGCGCCATCTTGAGTGTGGCCTTGGCGGACTTCCGGGCTGGTGCCGCCATCTTGAGTGTGGTCTCGGCTAAGTTCCGGTCCTGGTGCCGCCATCTTGAGTGTGGCCTCGGCGGACTTCCGGGCAGGGGCAGCCATCTTTAGTGTGGGCATGGCTAAGTTCCGGTCCTGGTGACGCCATCTTTACTGTGGGCTTGGCGGACTTCCGGGCCGGGCCCGCCATCTTTGTGTACGGCCTTGGAGGACTTCCGGTACCGGCGCCGCCATTTTTCTTTCGGGGTGCCCTCGCAGCGCTTCCGGTCCGGGAGGGCGCCATCTTTAGTGGTGCGCCGTCGAAAACAGTCCGGTCGCTCTCTACTTCCGGTGACCGAGTTTACCCAAATTAGCGTCCCTCGCTAATTTCTGCGCTTTCACCCCTAAAAATCTTCATGTTATTCCCCCCCCACACACACCCCGGGAGAGACGGGAGACCGCAAGTCCCGCCGTGCCGCCGGAACTGGCCCTTACCTTGAGCAGGGAGCGCGGCACCGGCACGAGAGCGGCGGCGCAGCCCCGACAGCATCTCCAGGGCACGGCGGGACCGAGCGGGAGCGGAGCGGGGTCCTCGCGGCTGCGCCGCGCGCCGCGGCGCCGGGAGGGGGCTGCCCGTGCCGGTGCCTGCCGCCGCCCACGAACCTGCCGCCCGCGCCCGGCGCCGCCGAGCGCCCCGTCCTGTCCCCACAGCGGGAAGCGGCGCGGCGAGACGGCGCTGCGGGCGCGGGGCGGGGGTCCGGGGCGGGGCGGAGGTCAGGCAACAGGATAGACGCCCCAACCTTGCAAAAATGAAAAATGAGCTGGGTTTCTAAACCTCCCTCGTTTCCCAGGATCCAAGGTTTTCCTAACAAGTTTGTCAGCAACGATTTTTTTGACTCTATTTCGAACATAAGCCACAATCCGAAAGGAAATTTATACAGCTCTGCTCTCGTTTTCCCCCCTGAAAAGGCACTGGGGACAGGGACCCCGGTAAAAAGCACTGGGGTGAACAGACCCTCCACCCACCTTTGCTGTTCAGCCACCCCAGCCAGAGGCCAAGGACAGCCCAAAAACCTCTTCCTGTTCTGGTGTAACTGGTGTGTTGCTCTTCTGTTTCTTCAGCACCTTTTCAATTGCAAAAGGTAATATATTACTACAATGGCCACATTTCATCCTTGGCTACATCCTAAAACAGGACACTGCTACTGTTTCCACACAATAGTTACATGGATGCAGCTTTGGCCTCAAAAAGAAGGGGAACAGAGAAGGCATCACACACTCCTATTGCTCTTTCCCAGCCCCCTGCTCTCTCTAGCCTCCATCCACTCCTGCAGCTCTGCAGAGATCCCAATCACACAGAGCTCAAACACACTGTGACAGCAGCCAAAATTTCTAAACAGCTGATGAAACTACTAAGAGTGGGGAGGAAAACGTTCTTTCTCTTCTATGCTGAGAAGTCAACAGGAATTCAGCAACTTGCCAGGAGAGCAAAGATCCCACACGAAAACCAGCACTTTGCATCTCCCCACTCCAGCACACAGCCTCCCCTGAGCAGAGTCAGAGTCTGAGGGACAGGGGGATGTGAGCACCATTGTTTATTTGAAGAAGGAGTCCTGGGAAGAGGCATCTGCCACTCCCAGTTGGAGCCATGGCAGTAAAAAAAGCACACCCCCCCGGGGAGCAAGGGGCCAGCTCCCAGCACAGTTCACCCCAAAGCACCATGCCCTCCCTCCTCCTTGAGCAAAGGAGAACAACTCCATCCCCTGGGGAAAGCTGGGAGGGAGGCACAAGGCACGCAGAAACCTTCACAAAAGCCATTCCTGAGGAACTAGAGCAGTCAAGAGGAAATCCGGGGATGCTGTGAGGCCAGTGTGCACATGCTGCTCCAAGGTGGACCACAGCTGCCTCCTCCTGTTTTTGCAGAACTCAGGCCTTGCAGGGAGACGTCGTGCTGTCATCTTTCCAATCTTCGTTTGCCGTTCAATAATGATCCCAAAGCTTGCATTCCACACACTAGCCAGCAGTTAGCCCAGTTTGTTACAATATTAATCTACCTGGAAACAGAAGGAAAAGAAAAATCCACTCCCACACACTAAGGTCTGGCAGAGGATATTTTTTCCCGCAGTTCCCCCTCCACTTATTTAAAGTTTTAAAAAATAAAATCAAGAAGCAGAACAATCCTTCATGATAAGATTAAGGTCCTTGATGTGTGACTCTGTTTCAACGTGCCCAAAAACTGTCGAGCTTTCTCCTGCATGAAGAGTTGGTCTTGGGTTCCACCGCAGGCCACTGCTTTCCAAGCCCTGGTCATCTGCAGAGGGAAAAGAAAGGATGTGTGCAAGAGAGTTAAGGGAGAGGACAAACATCTTGTCAACATCGTGTTCAAAAAGATTGCAAAAATAAACAGACCTATCAACCATCTGCTACCACCTAAGGGAAATCAAACTTCAGCACCCATCTTGCAACCAGGAGGAACTTGCACACCACCAGTTACTCATCACAGGGTCAGGCAGTAATTTCTAAGGGTAAGGTTCAGCAGTTTTCCAGGTGAGTGCTCCATTTCAGGACAACTCACATACCTTTTCAGGGCTTTTCCTTACTTGCCTCAAGACAAAAACCCCAAAGCACAAGCCCTGAAGCGATTCCAGCGATGGAAGAAATTCAAGTATAGCTTTGGGGTTTATTCCCAACCAGTACAATTTCTACAGGAGCTGCTCAACCCCAGGTCTAGCTGATCGAAGACGATTCTTAACAGCTATTAGATGTCTTCAGTTTCGGCAGGGTCCCACAGAACACAGGAATAACCAAAAATAAGGTGTACTTCAGTCTCTGCATGCAGAAAGAGCACCCACAAGGTGTTTCTGCAGTTCAGGAAAGCCCCTGTGAATCTCCTGATAAACGCAGCCAGGAAACACTCAATGCCCTAAACTGGAAATACCTGTTTACATGCACTGCAGAGAACCAGAGCTTGAGTGTTTGCTCAATAGTAAGAATGTTCCACACAGCCCCAGCATGGCTTTGGGCTGATGGAAGTTTAGCCCACAGCTGGATGAGCTCCCTTCATAAGTAACTGACTGCAAGCACCACCAGCCCAGGACAATAAATCCCCAGAGCCCAGGAGCAGCTCAGACAGCTCTGCTGTCTCTGGGCAATGGGATTTCACTGCACATCTGTACTCTGTTACCACACAAACGGCTCCACTGCCACCTTAAGTCACTCCCAAAGCTTTATTTATATGGATCTATTAGCTCTTGGAACAACTTGACCCTGCCGAGGACAGGAGGAGAAATGGAAGTCTTTAAGAAGGGTTTATTTTGGGAAGGAGAAGGAATTATTCTGGCTGAGCAGTATTAATCTTTCAGAAGAAAGAGCTTCCACAAGACAGCTCTAATGCAGGGACAGGTGCAACCCCCCTCACTGCAGTGCTTCCTGAAGACTGAGCTATGCTGTGCAGTAAGGACAACATAGCAGCTGGGCTCTTCTGGGGTGGAAACCACCCCCACAGCAGCCCCCAGCTGCAGTTTCAGCCCTCCACTAAGGACAGCAGGTATTTCCATCCTCATTCAAGCTACTAGAGAGCTCCAATTACTTGGTCCAAGCAAACACCTGCAAAATCATGATCCAAATCCCCTTCTCTAAGCCACACTTCTCAGCAAAGCAGGGATATCCCTCTACTAATGCACCCTGCCTGCAAGTGGTGAAGATTTTAGAGATCTGTTATGTCCCAGAGGGCATTTTTAGGCTGCTGTGACTCCAGCACAACCTGGATCCAACTGTGCAGAGCTGAGGAAAACGGTTGCTGTAACAGCACCAACCTCAGCACAAGCTACAAGGTGCCACACTGTCAGATGGAGCTCCATACTGCAATGGGTTCAAGATAATGTAGGGTGAAGTCAGCCTAAGATGGCTAAGGCACACAGCCTTCCCCACCACCCAGAAACACCCTAAAAATCAGAGGGGTGAGAAATACCTTTGTGCTTAAGCTTTATATAGCACTTCAGAGTTGCATACCCTGAGAAACAAAAAAGATGAGCTTACTGCTGTCCACCCAAGGAGTGCTCACTGGGAAAGTTTACTTCAGAGCCAGATCAATCATCCAAATTCCCTGACGGATTGGGGTAGGGTGCAAATTCCCATGAGGAAATCCAGGGCCAAACATGCTAAGCGGGTCACAGCTCTGATCAACCACAGGGCTTTGAGCCCCAGCAGGAAAGTAGGTTTGCAAAGAGACAGAAGGAGGCTGTAGTTTGACAGTACTGGTTGTTATCTCCCAAGCTTGGTGCAGGGACAGCCCTGAACGTGTAGTGGTGCCTATGCAGTAGTTCAGAGCTTCATCCCTCACTTCTCCTCCCATGGAGGGACAAGGGCTGCACTGGCAGCTGAACTCTTGGCTGAGAGAGCAGAGGTTGCAGGGCTTACTGGTGCTGGTGGCCTGAAATGGCTTGGCATTTTCCTGTAGGACATTTTCTCTGGCTGCACTTGCATGAAAGCTCTGTTGAGCAAATGACTGTCGTTCTTCCTGCTCGAGGAGGAAAGGTTCAGGGACCTTGACAGGAAATTCACAGGCTGAAAAGAGAAAAAAAAAAAAAAAGGAAAACTATAAGGAAAGAAGAAATACAGACTTTCATCCACATTCACATGGACAGTTCAAAGGCAGCTGCAGGCTGCTTTGCACAGGGTTTTTTTTCAGAGCAGAGATAGCTCTGTCCCTGCTCTGAATGCAGAACTCCTCACCTGGGCTCTTTTGAAACACACAGTCTTGGGGAGGGCAGGCAGATTTTGTGTCATATCTTCATCCACAATATCCAAGGCTAGAGACTTCCGGACCTTCCTGATGGGACTCCTGCGCAACTGGAGGACATAGAAAAAACAGTGTCAGCATGAATCCACCCAGAAGACTGCCATCCTTAGGGCCCAGGGTACACACCAAGCCCAGGTCATCCTGGGTCTGCATGGCCCCAGCATCTCAGAAAGAAGGATTGCTGCAGCCTTCCCCACCACAGGGCACAGCAGCTTCCAGTGCTCTCTTCCTGGCACCTGCAGCCACCAGTTTAGAAGACAAAGACCCTTTCAGTAGGAAGGTCACCAAGAAACTGAACCAATAGACTCTTCGTACCAGCCCACAGCCTTCTGGGAGCCCAGTGTGCCCCAGAAGCTCCAAGCATGCCACGGGTCTCTCCAGTAGGATAGCAACACAGCATCTCCTAGCAAGCCCTGAATTCAGCATAACCAGGACATGGCGGGCAGTATTTTCAGCAGGCCTTAACCTCAAGTGCCTCTTGCTGATTCAAAGACAGTGGTCACGGGGTCAAAAAGATTTTGACATCAACAGTATGAGTAAAACCAACCAAAACACCCCCTAACAGCAGAGGGCAGCTCAGCAGCAGGTACTGGATACAAAATCAGCTCACCCCCTGTTTCCTTTTCTGTTTCTCAGGCTTCACCTCATCCTCTATGATGAGTTCGATGCCAGCTTCACTTCGGAGTACCTCTTTCAAGTCTTCTTCCAGGTGAGGAGTCTGGGGCTGGTGTGAAAAAGGCAGAGAGAGCACAAGGCAGTCAAAGTCTGTATTCTGGGCAGGCTCATGAGTATTTCTCTCAAGGGATAATGGGGTCAGGAGAGACCACAGTGGGAGGACAAAGACAAAGATGACTTCCAATTTACTTCCCAGCTGGAAAAGATATGACAAGTTTTCTGCTAGCCTAACAGATTTCCAGGATCTCTAGGCATGAGAGACTCTTATCATCTGAACCCCAAGTGTGGCATCAGCAGACCAGTATGCACACAAGGCCTGGGATACTGGAAACTGCCATCCCCACAACACCCACATTCAGAGATGCAGTTCCTCAGAGAAGCCTAGGCAGAGCATTTCCTTGCTTTTCCTCGAGGTCATCATAGCCAAGCACTGCAGCCTGATTCAAGGGCAGGTTTTGGCATTTTTAGTTGGTTTCCAGAGGAACTAACAGTCCTGTGGCTACTTACAATAAAATTATCATCATGACAAGGTCCCCTCCCATCTAAGCCTGGCACTACCAAACTGCACTTTGTTCTGGTACAGATAAGAGTTGGTTCACGGCTCTGCTGCAACCTGCCCCATGCCCCATCGTGCTTCTGCCACCTGCAAGCCACAGCCCTGCCCAATGATTACCAGAGGTCTAATTGGTCCATATTTCTCCAGGGCATTTTTGAAAGGCGTGGGAGTATGAGGCGTGTTGTCCACCACGTACGTCTGATCTGGTGTGACAAACCTGAAAGCAGAGAGGGGGAAAGAGAAGGGATCAGACCTGCTGTAACCCACAGAAGGCAACAATCCACCCAGCAGCTGGGCACAACACTTGGCTGTGGCCCCAGTCAGCCTGGGCACTTGCTCCCTGCAGCTCAGAGTGGAGCTGTTTTGGAAGGGAACCACTAATTTAAGGAAATCCCCAGCCTGCCTTGCCCCTCTCTTAGTAGTGTCGAGTACTGAGAGGTGTGTTTGAATTGAACCAGTCTCCCGTGTGGAAAAGGACTCTGCGCAGGGAAGAGGAGGAAGAAAGGACTTACGCTAAGTTCTTCTGGGGCAGAGGGGTCTTGTCCCTGTGCAGTGGGGTGGTGACAATCACTTTCTGGCTGCACACAGGTGTGGAGGTCAGGGATGGGTTCTCCAGTTCTAGTGTATCCTGTTTGGTCCAAAAGTTTAAGAACTGAACAGCACAGGAAAGAAAAAGTGAACACAGTCAGTCTCAAGCATCCCAGCATCACATCACAAGGCACTACTTTTTCCTCAATAGGGAGAGAAAATCTGAAGTAGGGACAACACTCCCATTCTGAGCAGCTGTCCCAGCGTAAACCAGGATGACTTACGGACTCATACAGTTCTGTACATGGACACACATGTGAAAGTTGCCAGAAGGTGCCCCACACCTATAGAGGTTATTTACTTCCCGTAAGGGATGAGCTGATGCAACTAAAACTACCAGCTACAGTGTGGGAGAGAAGTCTCTCCTTGCACCAGTAATCCCAGCTCACCAAAAGTCTATTCCAACCTCAGGTTAGCAAACACGAGGGAAGACCATGTAACACAAAGTGTACAAGTTAACAAGTTTTGCATTGAGCTGCTTTCAGCCTAAACTGCAAGAAGACTACACACTCTCTCATCTCTGCTAAGATTTTACTTCTCAACAGCTAATAAGTGACAGCTTTACTCAAAAAAGGAATGAGGTTTGTGCCCAAGAATCTATCAGGACAGAAGAGCTGTGTTCATGACATTCACTGATGGCTGAAGCTCAGCCCAAGAGGCAGGACATGCCCATTGCCTTCTCAAATTCACTCCAGACCTTCCTGTCATTTACACTGAGAGAAGTTAAACATTTCAGATCCTGATGTGATTTCCCAGTCCTTGTTAGCCTTGCATTCAAGGCCAACCTGAACCTGCATGTTGGACTGTCCTGTGGTGCTCTCTCATGTGCATCCAGGGCTGCAGGAATAAAGGCCTGGAGGGCACAGGTAGACAAAGAATCTGAACAAAGTTGCTGTGGGAACTGTGCTGGAAAACACAGCAGACTTTATTCTGTTTTATAAGCAGAACTCCACCACTTTCAGATATGAGAGACTACTGGGTTTGACCATCACAGTGCCCTAAGGTGATGTATGTTGGAGACTACGTGTGCACAAGCATGTGGACACTGTAAGAGTCACGACACAGGTCAAAAGACCCCAAGGCCCTTTTGCAACAAAGACAAGCCCAGGAGCATTTTCCCAAGTACAGAAACGCCGAGGTCTGTGCAAGGTGTTTGCTGCCCAGCCTGCCTGAGTGACTGAACTGCAAACAAACGGGGAAAGCAAATTTTCACTGTTGCCACTCTGCTACCCACAGCTGGGGCAGCAATGCCCTGGGGACAGAAGCAGTGTGCTCTACAGCATGAGCATGCATGTAGATCCATCCACACAGTGGTGCTTCTCCACAGTGCCCTGCCTCTCACAGTGTAGCTGGGCTTTTCTGAGGCTGCAAGCACTCCCAGAGGCAAATGTGGTCTGCTGCTCCCAAAGGAAGGGCAGCACTGAAGACAAGCAGTGCCAGAACCCAGTTCTGTGGCTTGTTTTAGCAAAGGGATACACCCTGCACACTGGTACTGTCTCATTCAAGGCAGGAGAGACATTCAAAGCTGGCAGAGCTGATGAAAATACATGACATTAGGGCAAGAAGACAGAGCATGAACACGCTTATTAGCTCAGGCCCAAGCCCAGGCAGAGGAGCACAGACTGGGCCCTGCTGTTTCCCCATACCTGAGATGGAGAGAAGGGCAGTGTCTTTACAGGGGTGCCCTTGGGGGTCATGCTGTTGCAGGAGTCAAGGAAGGACAGACTGGTGCTGGTGACGTTCTCCGTGACAGGGGAGAGGGAGATCTTCCTCTTCTTCTGCCTCATCAGCACTGAGGGTGGAGTGCCAAAGCTCCCCTCAGCATGAGGGGAGATGGGGATGAGCTCTCCCTTGCTGCTCCTGCTCAGGTCGGAGATGGTGTGGCCATCCAGGCGGTACTCGGTCATGCTGGGCAGGGACGGCGCGGCCTCACTCAGCGTTGGCCTCATGGGACTGTTGTTGCTGCTGCTGCCACCGGCAGAAGGTTCCTCAGGCAGGTCAAACTGAGTCAGGTCACACCACCCACCGTCTGGGTCCTGCACACAAGGGAAACCATCAGTGGCAGCCCAGGAGCAAAGCTGAGCAGCCGACGGGTGAAGACGCAAATTTGAACTAGGAGGTGAAGTAAGTGTGTGATGGCACCAAGCTTTGGAAGGAGCCTGGCTAGGAGAGCTCCAGCCCTCCTCCCCTCTGCTGTAGGCACAGCTGGAAGCCAGACCAGGGCACTGACCCAGCTGAAAGCTGCTGTTTGTGCACAGGCAGGTTTTTCTGTTTCTGCAAGATTGGTTTCCCAGCTCGGTTCACAGCACAGCCGCACAAACAGCTGCACCCCTCCAGAGAGGGAACAAAAAAAGCAGCTGGGGAGAGGTCTGGAGACAGGGGCTGAATGAAGTGACTGTCACCCAACAGCAAACCACAGTCTTGGGCACATCGATAGAGCTGGACACAGGGCTCTGCACTGCTGAAAGCAGAACCAAACCAGTTCAGAGATGAGCTGCTTCACAGCTCCATCCCACCAACACCCAGTACCATACAAGGACCCACATACGGCCTGCTAAGCCTCGGGCACAGACTGTCTTCCTATACACAGGCAAAGTGGATCCTTCATGGATAATCAGCTCATAAGCTCCTCAGGCAGGCTGGGGCCTGCAGAGGCACTTTCCTCTGGTGGCAGCAAAGTGCCCTGTTGATTCTAGCCAGCCTCCCACCCTGGTGTGCCTCTGTCACCCAGCAGACATCAGCAGTGCTTGACTGTCCCAAAATTACTAGTTTCAGTGAAGCTACCTCCACTGAAAACAAACAGTGACCATATGCCAGCATGAAAGGGTCTGTCCTCCATAGTACAAATGGGCTTGGCTTGTTCCCAGTCAGTCCTGTCCCATCCCATCCCATGACAGGAGGAAAGAAAAGCCAATAAGCATGAGCTGAACCATTATGAAAATGAGTACTGGGGACACTCTGGCCAATAAAGAAGGATTTGAAATCAGATTTGCCAGAACCTACAGCCTCCCACACCGTCAGAGCCCACGTACAAGGACACCCACCTAGGGAAATCTGCAAGCCCACAGTAATACCAGCAGAGCTGGAAAGGACTAATCCAGCCCTGAAAGAGAGATGGTAGGAATCTGCAAGGCAATGACAGACCCAGCCCTCCTCAGGTCACCCATGGTGATGAGCAAGGGGACTTGGTAAGTTCATTCAAGGATGAAGGATAAAATCAGTCTCCCTTGGGGAAGCAAGGGACTGTTACTTACAGATTCAATCATGTCCAGAGCTTCATTGAAGGCTGGCACACAACTTGGGTACAAATAGTTGGCAGCTTCAACAACCCATTTGTAGGGTGATTCGACGAACGAAGTGGTTGCCTCTTCTGGAGTTCCCTCCATGTTCTGCTCTGCCAGTTCTGCCACTGGCAGCTCCGAGGGCAACTCCTGTACACCCGTCACCTCCTCATCACTGACATCTTCTTCTTTTATCTCAGAGATATCCACTGGCCAGTTCGGCAGGACATTCTTCACACATACAAGCAAAGAAAGTCCAGATATTAGTAGAAAACAAAGGAACAACGTCAAGTCTTGGGTACAAAGAGCAAGAGTCCCTGTACACATTCAGGTTTCCTACCTGCCATTCAGTTTCACATCCCCATTCTCCCTCACTGCTCTGTCCCATACACTACCTGAGCAGGAGTCCATGCAACATAACAAGCGCAGGACTATTTAATTGAAGATTTCTCTTAACAGTATCCCAGGAGAAAACTGAACATAGGCTGAACAGGTAGCACAAGTTCTGCATTTCCTATTTTCCAAGAGCCTGCCTTCTAAAACCACATGCTTTCTTCATGAACGCAATCATTTGGTGTCCTTCCCTGCTTCCTTTTTTAGAGGAAAGAAACACAGTATCTCTTCACCGTGCTCCCACACACACACTGCCTAGAGCAGCCTCCCTTTTCCTACCAGCAACAGCACAACAAAGCCAAAAGAACCTTCAGTGTCCAAGACAGACCTGATGCTCAGACTGGCAAGATAACAGCTTTAGCATATGACACACTTGGGCTCCCATCACACCTCTAGCTCCCGGAGGGAGAGATCTCCCAAGAGTCAGTCTCTTGGAAAAGGCTGGAGAAGGCAGTCAGTCTATGCAGACACCAGGCTACGGCAAAGGTAGCGTGAGGCAGCAGAAGGGTGGATGAACAGCTCCAAAACACATTAGCAGAGCAGGGGACTGACCCACTTGCCTGCTGCAAGTGCTGGTGCAGTACCTGGCTCTCAGTTGTCGTTTGACTTTGTCTCTCCTTGTTATCCACCTCCACAAGCAAGTACAGTGACTTGGACTCCTTAGTTTCATTGAGAAAGCCTCCCGTGTCCACCTTCCGCTTGATGGTGGAGTTCCAGTGATTCTTCACAGCATTGTCGGTCCTGCAGAAAAAGCAGAAGAAAACAAATCACCATTTACAGTAGCTCTAAAGCACAGCTAACAGTTCCAACACACTCCCCAGCCCACTCATGGGAGCCTAACACATGGATCTCCATGGGCCACCCAGCAGGGAAGGCAGCAGTGAGCAAAGAGGTCCTACCTCCCAGGCAGCAGCTTGGCAATCTCCGCCCAGCGATTCCCCAGGACCTTGTGGGCCTCAAAAATTATACGATCCTCCTCCTCTGTCCAGGACGACTTCTTCACCTCAGGGTTCAGGTGGTTATGCCAGCGTTCCCGGCACTGCTTCCCTAACCGCCCTTTCAGGTGCTTGGCTATCAGGGTCCACTGTTTGGTGCCATATTTTTTAACCAGTTCAATTACCTTTGAAGAGAGAGGGAGGGAAATAAAGATATGGAAGAAAGGAGAGGAAGGTCAATACACTCATCTTCAGGCTTTGCTCTTCAGCTCTCTTGGGACTAGTTAAGGGCAGACGAGGGCCCCTTAGGAGGAAAAGCTGGAGGGATCCAGCATGGACAGTCATGTGTACCAACTCTCATGAGAGCAATGATTCTGCCAAATTTCTGTAAGAGGTTGTTTCCATGCAGACACAGGGCACCTGTGAATGCAGATGACCACTTCAAGAAGATGAGGTGGAGACTGGCAGGTGCACCAGGGGCAAAGGGGCCCAGACTGAGAAACATGCCCATTTCTGAGCAAAGGCCGAGTCCCACCTGCTCAAAGGCTCCTCTGCCCTCCCTGCTTCTGAAGACCTGCCTGCATGACAACAGTCCCTATCAGCTCTGCACTGGTCTGCTACTCCCTTTCCCAGTGTGCTACAGCCAGGACATGCCAGGGCTGCAGGTCCATGCTCTGCTAGCACCAGCACACACTCAGGGAGACCTTCAAAGCCTAAACAAGCCACGTTCACTTAAGAACCATCCACTTTGCCTCTTCCCCTTCACCCAGGGCTTTGTCACTTCTGCTTGAGCCTCAATGCAAATGCTTCTGGGCACAGAAACTGTTCTGAGCCCCTACAATGTCCAGGGCACAGTCAGGATGAAACAATCTACTTCCTGCAATGTTCAGCCTACCAAAATCCTAGCTGAAGAGTTTTCAAAGTACATTTCCACCCTGGCCAGCTGTGCTCAGCTGAAAAGTGCAGGTAGAGAGGTGGTGCTCAGTGCTCTTGGCACAGCACAAATGTCCCTCCTGCAGACCCTTGTCTGTCAAGCACAGACAAATGGGCCAAAGATGCCAAAATGAGGCACAGGCCAAGGAGCTGGGGCAAAGCAATGTTCAGGGTTGGGAGGAGAGAGCTGGAGCCCAGCTTGGCCAGGATGGGTAGGCTGGTAGAATCTGGACAATACAATGGGAAGGGGAAATCAGGCAACAACTGCTCTGCTGTAAGGTGGGAGGACATAATGAGAAGCTCCCTTGGGACAAGCTTGACATAAACTAATGGGACCAAAAGAAATGAGGGAGCAAAAGTGTTACAGAGAATCTGCCAGGCTATGATATTTTGTAGCAGAAAACCTTGGCAGAAGTTGGAATTTATTCCAACTTTTCTTAACTACATCAAGACGACGAATCTGAGTTGGCCCCTCTTAGCTCACTCTGCAAATAGAAGAGAAACAGGCTCACAAAAGTCATGATTTACCCAGCCAATCCCAGACATCCACTCCAGCCTGCCTACTGTGGCAGCGGAAATGCCAGTTTTATTTTCTCTTGAATCCAACCTGGCCAGGCCAGGTGGAGACCTGCCAGCACAGAGACGAATTAATTCCATTTTCAGCTCTCTCCCCTGCAGATTACTCTGGCAGTACTGTGTGAAAGGGAGAAGGTGTTTACCTGAAGAGGCCTAGAGCTGCTCCTGCACATCACAACCATGGCTGCCCAGGCTGCTCAGAGCAGGTCAGACAGTGCTGCTCTCACGGGTATCCCTCAGTGAGAAGAATTACACATAGTTTACCACAAGATCTGAGGGTCTAACTCCTCCACCCTTTCTTCAGACAGAGACAGTCCAAACACTCTGGTCCTCTTGGCCCTGACTAACCTTTTGGTCCTCTTCTTTGGTCCAAGGGCCCTTAACCAGGTCTGGATTCAACACTCTCAGCCACCTGTACTGACACTGCTGATCACTGCGGTTCTGGGAAAAGGAAGGAGAATAGCCTTGTGTTAGACTGGAGGCTCCAAAAGCCCAAAAATCTCCAAAGGCAGTAGCAGTCCCCATACACAGAGGCTGTCCCACAGAAAACCTGTAGAAGCACACGGAAAATACATACTAAGACCCTAGACCCAGGGCACTGGGTACAGGGACAGGAACCTCAATTTCTCACCCCAGCTCCAACAGACTCACCCTGGAAAGCCCTCTGTACAATGTCTCCCTGCCCTGAAGCAGCCCCATTTCACAGCCTGGAGCTGCTGTCACAGAACAGTCCCACTGCACAGACACAGAGAACCAGCACAAGGAGAAGAAGCAACATGCAAACTCTGATTCCCAGCTGGGCAAGGGGTCACTTACAGGAAAGTGACTGGCCAGGAATTTCCAGTCATTCTGCCCATAGTGGCTTACTAACATCTTCAGCTGCTCATCCTGCAAAGAACAAAGACACCCACTTTCAGATATACTGAGGGAACAGATGCCAGAGGCACCCCATGGCTGATGGCATCAAGAGAACAAGCTAGATATTTTGAACAGCCAAGAAGGTTTTGTTGGCATTCTGTGTCCAGGGGAGGAAAGTAGCTCAGACCAGCTTTTAACAGCATTCCAGTATACAGAGACAACTGGAACAGACTTTGGTTCTGGGCTCTGTACTAGGACAAGCTAATACACTGAATACAAAACAAGAGCTCAGCTCTGTTCCAGTGCAGTTTGGTTCTAACCCTGTGGCCAAGGGCCTGCTTATCCAGCCCCAGTGCACCCCTGATCAGATAGTCCATCTCCCAGCTCAGCCACTGGTTTTGCCTGGCCAGAAAAGCTGACTGGTTGAAGTGTATCATCACTAGCCTAGTGGTCTTCTGTCTTTTGGTGCTATAGGGCTCTACAGCATCTCTTCCATGATCCCTGCTTACAGCCTGAATGTGTGTACTCATACAGCTCAGAAAAAGCCTGTTGTAGGGGTCCTTGTCTGTGAGCTCTGGATGGGCAAACAGGCATGAAATTATTCCCTGCCCAGCATGAGCCCAGGGCTTTGAAATCTCCACAAAGACCACCTTACTCAGTGTCCAAACCCCAGGGAGACAGGACATCTTGTAGTTTTCATAGAGAACAAAAATGATGGAGGAACTGGGAGGAGGGAAGTGAATATCCCAACTAATTTCACGCTCTTAGCCAGGATGACTAAGCCATGATTCCAACAGTTTCAGTACTCCCTGTTTTTGCTAGAGAAAAAGGAGAACACTTCGGTTGCACAATTCAGCTTGTTGGAGGCCTCATCCATCCTCTGGAATCCCTCTTTGCTCACATGAGTGCTGCAGGCAGCGGATGCCTGGCTGAGGACTCATGTGCTTAAGCTAAAGAGGTTGGAGCTCTTGCTCTTCAGGCTGCACTTTAAACTCCCCTGAACTCTGAGCCTCATTCAGACCTCAGATCAGAATAAAAGACACATGGTCTTCTCCAGTAGCAAGACAGTAGGAGGTGGGGTCATAGCCAGCAGGTGAGGACTAGGGGGGAGTCACCAAAGCCCAGGGTGCCAGGCCAGATGCCCACCCCAAAACACCTCTCTCTGGGCTCTCACTCACCTCTTCTTGGGTCCACTTGACTTTGCACCTGCCATCCCGCTGCTCTGGCACATCCAATTCGGTATCCTGGTAACGCAGCTCATCTTGGTCCTCACTAGAAATAAAAAAATGAAGATTATAACTTCCAGCTCTGACGAAAACGCAGGAGAGGGAGCAAGCCCCACCATGCAGAGCAGAACTCCAGATCTGTCCCTTCCAGCACTGAGCCCCAACATCCACCCAGACACCCCAGGTTTAAAGGAGACCCTCAGCTTTGGGCTCTGGCGGCTGCTAGTAACTTTCATGCTGCCCAGAGCAGGGTAAGGAGCGTTTCTCTTCATTTCTGCTCCCTCTGTCCCTCGGGGAGGACTCTGCATGGGGAGGGGGGCTGGCACCATTCCCCCATTCCAGTTCCCCACCTCCGGGATCGCTGGAACGAAGGAAGTGGGCAGCGCCGGCCGGGCGGTGCGGGGGAGCAGCCCAGGGGCTCCGAGAGAGCAAACCCAGGCCCAGGTGGAGCCCCTGGGACCGTTCAGCGGGGGGATCCCGGAGCCGCCGCCCTGCGCGCATCCCGCACCCCGCTGTCCGGCCTGAGAGCGGGAACGGGGCAGCCAGCAGGAGCCTGTGGAATGTTCCGCGGAGCCGGCACGAGGAGTCCAGGCACGGCGGGGGCCGCGCTCACTCACCCGCGGGTGCGGCGGGCCATGGCGGGGCCGGGCCGAGGTCGGGAGCGGGGCCGGAGCGCGGCACCGGCGGCACTTTCCTATCTCGCGCCAACGGCGCCCCCCCGCCCGGGGCCGGGCCGCGCATGCGCCCCGCGCTCCCGCCCGCACAAAGAGGCGCGCGCGGGAGGGCGCCCGTCCGCCCCTCCCTCGGGACCTGCATCCACCCGGGAATGCCGGCATCAGCCCCCGGGACCGACCCGGCACCACCGGCATCCACCTCCGCACCGACCCCGCACCGATCTGGGACCCCCGGGACCCCCTATACCTGTCCCCGCACCCACCCGGGCCCCTCCGCATCCAACACCGCAGTGACCCGGGACCACTGAGACTCCCCGCATCCACCCCCCCCACACACTGCAGCAGCAGCTCTGAGCGCGGGGCAAGAGGATCACACACAGACCCCCCCCCTTCCCCCCGGATCACCTCTCCCTGAAACAGGCTGAGAAAGTTGGGGCCGTTCAGCCTGGAGGAGGGAAGGTTGTGTGGAGACCTCAGAGCAATCTTCCCGTGTGTGAAGGGAACTCCCCTCCCAGGGAGGCTGGAGAGGGACCCTTCATCAGGAACCTAGTGACAGGACAAGGAGGAGTGGGTACCAATTGACAGAGGAGAAATTTAGGTTAGATATTAGGAAGAAATTCTTCCCTGTGAGAGGGGGTGAGGCCCTGGTACAGGTTTCTCAGAGAAACTGTGGCTGCCCCATTACTACAAGTGATGAAGGCCAGGTTGGATAAGGCCTTGAGCAATTTGATCTAGTGGGAGGTGTCCCTGCCCATGGCAGGAGGGGTTGGGACTAGATGATCTTTAACCCCTTAACATTCTACACACTCCCACAGGATGTGGCTACATGTGGTTGGGGGTGCCCCAAGAGCCCCCAGGACTGTGCTTGGCTCCAGGAAGGAACTGGCTGCTGCCAGTTCACCTCACACCCCACCAACCTTGGGACATGGGACCCTCGCAGCCGGGCAAAAAACTCACAAAATTCAATTCAATCACCACGCTGCCCTTGCAGCCTGTCTGGCTCCAGGGGGTGCTGTGGGGTCACCTGGGGAGTGCAGGTCTGATGCTTCCCAGGAGGTAATAGAGGGGCTGGCGTGGAACAGCCCGGATTTGCTCCCTGGCCAGGCAGCAGCACTGTCACATTGCATCCCAGATTCCTGCCCTGGGGACAGCAGGGCATGAACACATTAGGGCTCTACACCTGCATACCAGATTCCTGCTGCTCTCACAGCTGTGCACACAGAGCACACCCACAGCCAGTGCCCACACGTTACAGAATCATGGAACATTCTAAGCTGGAAAGGACCCACCACCATCCAAGTCCAACTCCTGGCCCTGCACAGAACAGCACCAGTAATCCCACCACGTTCCTGAGGGCCTTGAACAAATGCTGCAACATATACTATTTATAGCATCTGTGCTGAGTCTGTGCACATGGATATTCCTGACCAGTATATCACAACAAGATGGTTTAAGGGAGCTGCTTTATGCTGATGCTGCCGCCCTCATCACTCACACAGAAGTAGCTCTGCAGCGTTTAACATCCTGCTTTACTGAGGCTGCTGAGCTTTTTGGGCTGGAGTCAGCTTGAAGAAGACAGAAGTTCTCTATCAGCCTGCACCTCAGGAAGCCTTCCATCATCCCCATATCATCATTGGTGAATCAGAGCTCAAATCAGTCCAGCAGTTTAATTCCCTAGGTAGCCTCATCTCCTCGGATGGTAAGATTGACAGAGAGATAGACAACAGGTTAGCAAAGGCATATAGTGCTTTTGGAAGACTCCATAAAAGAGTTTGGTGAAATAAACACCTGAAGAAAAGTACAAAGATCAGTGTTTACAGAGCCATTGTGCTGTCTACTCTTTTATATGGATCCGAATCATGGGTCATCCACCGCCACCACCTGCGACTCCTGGAACACTTCCATCAACGCTGTCTCCGTACAATCCTAAACATCCACTGGTCAGATTATGTGACTAATACATCTGTTCTAGAACAGGCAGCAGTCACAAGTATTGAGGCCATGTTGCTGAGAACACAGCTGCGTTGGGCAGGGCACGTCTCCAGGATGAAGGACCACCGCCTCCCTAAGATCTTGCTCTATGGTGAACTTGCCACTGGCTGCCGCAAGAGAGCAGCCCTGAAGAGGAGATACAAGGACTGCCTGAAACAACATCTCAGCCTTGGCCACATTGATCTTCATCGCTGGTCTACCCTGGCCTCCAACTGGGAGGTCTGGAGACACACACTCCATAATGCTGCTGCTTCCTTTGAGAACACACGCAGGATCACCATTGAAAAGACAACACAGAAAGAATCGTATCCTGCCGATACCATCCCAGGAGTCTTTCTGCTGTGCCTTTTGCAACTGATCTTGTCTATCTCGCATTGGCCTCTTTAGCCACGAGCGTGCTTGTAGCAAATGTGAGTAGACCCCTTCCTAAATCTTCGTTCGCAAAGCCTAGCCATGATATCACAACAAACAAGGCAAAAGTTGAAAGAGCTGTCAACTTATTAGGGACCCTGCGCTGGGTCCAAGTAGGAAGGCTCCATGTATCCTGCAAACACCCCTTTGCTCTCTAAAGTTACCCACTGACAAGGTACCCAACCCTTACAGACCCCAATGTACCTCCAGCAGTCAGACATGACCCAGCATCGCTAGCCCTGTGTTTAAAAAGAGGGAAACAAAAACCCCTCCCTCTCCCAAACTGGCTTAATTAGAAAATTAGCCTGTTAATTAACTACCAGAACTATAAAACCACTATAAGTAACACTGGTAAAAAAGGCTCAAGCCTTTAAAGGGATCTCTGTAGAAGCTGAAGGTAAGTAGTGTTTTTTTAGTCTATCCTCTTATTGTCTCCTTTATTTCTTACATACTAATTTGTTGAAATTATCTTAGTCTCTTAAAGAAGACTTTCCTTCTAGACTGACGATACAGTTCCATTTTACAGTAAATTCAGGAGCTTTTTAGCTCTGTTTTTAATGTTTTCAGTATAAAAATGGTTTCAGACCATAGTAAGTGCCTTCTCCTTCCCTGACCTGCCCTGTTCCCTCTGGGGGTGGCTGGAAGTCATCTGCTGGCTGAGCTGGTGGTGAGGGTTACTGCATGTGGGACTAAAGACAAGATGAGAGGTGCTCCTCAACTTCTTCAATCCTAACCAGAGCCTGGCTTTAGTGCCTCCCTCTCAAAGAGGCTCAAATCTAGTGGTTTAATGGCTCACTGACTTAAGGAATGAGGATAAAATATCTTATTTCTCAGGAAAACCAGATCCATCTTAGTACAACTAACAGAGAGGTTTCCTGAGTCCCTCTATGCCCTACACAAAGCTAAGAGTGATAGACAGGCTGAGGCCAAATGAACACAACTCTAAGGAGGCTTCACGGTGACCTCTGGGCAACAAACAGGCTATGGTCCAACTCTTTTGCTCTAGAAGACAGTGACAGGCTGGATGCTCTCCTACCTGTCCTGCATCCCACACAGCTCCTTGCAAGACTGAGACAGGATTTTGTCGAGAGCTGCCTCGCTACTCTAAGTCTGCAATTCACTAGTGAACAATATTGAACAGTAACATGTTTATTCTGATAGGAAAACCTGGTCTCCATAAACCTGGCCGTGGTGGGATTCTGCACCATGCTGTCCACACAGAGGCATGGTTCCAGCATCTTGACCATAAAGGAAATCCTAGAAAATGGCTTTGTGGCCAGGGCCTTCAGCCATACCCATTCTTCTCCTGTCCAGAGTTATTGCATGGACTCTAGCAGTGCCTCTAAATCAGACACCTGGGAGCTTGTCATGGACTTGGATGGCACAGCAAAAAGCAGTTCTCTCTGTGTTGTCAAGCAGTTGGAGTCTCTGAGCAGCTGTGTGAAGACTGACCTGCACGGCCTGACTCAAGGCATCTTTGACCTTAGTCTTGTCTGCCTCTGCAAGGCCCACCAGGGCCAGGCCACCTTGGAGCTGTCTGGTTTGCCTTGTGAAGACTCCAGCAGACCTGGCTGCCTCATGGACATAGCATCACAGAACACCTCAACACCTCACAAGAAAGACAAGCACCCCAAACCACTAGAGAGTCTCCTCTCCAAAAGCTCCAAGCTCCTCAGAGACCTCTCTGTCCTTGGGAATGTGCCAGCACCCAGGTGGGAGATCTCATCAATAAAATCCCCTCCGGACACCAGCCTGTCCCTTGATGTGAGCACTGAGGAGTTAAGGTTACTGGGATGCTCCAAACTGGACACGCCATCCCTGGATGTCAGACATCCGTAGTGATTCCTCTGGCTTGGCCTGGTGCTTTCAAAAAGCAACTCTGTGCTGATGCGCAAGTCTGCCGCCCCCGAGCCCCTGCCGAGCGATCCTGACCTTGTCCCTGTGTTTCTGCACGAGGCTCAGTGATGCTGCTGCCCTGGCTCTGTGCCCGGAGCACGGTGGACTGCGGGGTGCCTGCAGAGGGGCACGGATCTGCACTGCAGCACAGGAGACGGAGCCCTCCTGCCCTGCCCAGAGCCAGCGGCTCTTGTGCTGATGGCAGCACCCGGTGAAAGGTTAAATCTGCCCACCTGGGGTGAGGGGCTTTGGGGCACTGCTGTTGAGGGATGCTTAGGGCAGTCGACAGCAGCAGCGCCGCTGGCTCCCCATCCCCCCAGATCCCTGTCTTTTGTACTAACGCAATAAAGATACAAATGTTGTTCTGTGTGGTTGGCCTTTGGCGCTCACTGCCCACCCAGCTTGTGGCTGAACCCCGCTCAACTCCCAGCGCCGGCTGCCGGTCCAACCTCAGCGAGCGCAGCCCTCTCTGGAGACGCTCCCGCGGCCCGGGAGAGAGGGATCATCCACCCCCGCCTCACCCGCCCCCGTTACCTGGCAGAGGGGCTCGGGCAGGTCCTGGTGGAGAAGAGGCTCCGGGACACGGCTCCGGCGGCTGGGCCATAGCTGCTGGGCCGCCGGGAGAGCGGACGGAGACACGGCCGGGGCTGGGGATCCCTCTCCTGGCGTACCAGGAAAGCACAGCCTAGGAGCGCAGAACGGGCGGGACCGGCCCGGACACCCCCGCCCTGTCACCCACTTGCCTTACGCAGTATGTTAATCCGCATCACTTGCCCACACGCTGCGAAGGTTTCCTCTGTGATGTTCACTCTCTGCTCTGAGTGAATGAAACGAGCCTACCCCATGGCATCCCCCACCTGTTACAGGTTTTCACGTGCTCCTGTTAGATCTCACCCCATTCACACAACCACTTGCTCTCCTTCCTGTTTTTGCTCTCCCTCCTGTTTTTCCTCTCCTGTCACTGCTTAAAGCAAAGACAGGGAGAAGGACTTGCTAAAACCACTTCTCAGGACATTCACGGTTTGCTGAAGAAACAATATATCCCGCTCCTTCTTCTTTCAGGGACAGATTAAGGGATGATGAGTCGTGTTGCACGAGAGGACAGATAAAAAAAGGGAAAACAGCAACAGATGCTTGGAACCAACCTTTGTGAAATATAGCAATAATTCCATTAATATCTAAACTCCATGGCTGTGTGCCTGCCAGTGCCCTTGCCTCACCTCTTGAAAGCACTCACCTACCTGTACTAATTCAAAATTCTATCAGACAGCCATAAACTTTTTATGTATCACACTCCCATGACCAAAGTAAGTATTTCTGTCTGTTTACAAAATAAAAACTTAAATACTTCCACAGAGCCAAAGGGACAAGCTTTGAAAGAGAGATGCAAGCTACTGCATCCACCTGTATTCCACACTAGCCAAAAAAACATGCATTCAGTGAAAAATTTGTGCTTCAGTTGTCAGAGAGGCCCCATAGGCATATGGCAAACAGGGAGCTGCTTGTATTCCCTGGCTGCTTACATGGCCTTTTTCTAAACCACGTTACAACAGCAAAAACAGGTGACAAAACAACTCTGAAAAAGGGCCGGGAAACAGAAACTATTTACAGTTTGAAGTATAAATACCCCAGAACAGCACAAACCAGAGCTATAACTAGCAAGAGGATCACTCAGGGGGTTGGTTCAGCTGCACCCTGTGCAGCCTGACTGATTGGTATTGATACTGCACAGGAGAGATTAAGCTTGTTGTGTAAATCTGTAGCTGGAATGTGCAAAGTGCTCTGTGTGACAAACAAAACCGCGGCCTATAAGGAAAATACAGGAAGCAATGAAAAATTTCAAACATGCCGCTGTGAAAAGGGAATGTCTGCAGCATAGGAAGAGATACAACTTTTAACATTATATTAGCACGTCTCAACTGGGCAGGAACTTGGCAGGGGCTTTAGGGCACCTCCTTTAGAAAACCCTGTGCCAAGATGGCATGTGAAGCATGAAGAAATGTAATATAAAAAGATTTTTGCAGGGGTAAAAGATGAACAGATCTTTTGCAAAAAACAGCATGGATGTTAAAACACATGGCAGAGCAAGATAAAGCACAAATGTCATGGAAGGCTTGAGTGAGGGAAAAATTTTCACTAACAATTTGAGTGTCATATTGATAGCCAAAAAAATGCTGTATTTAAAGTGCAATCTCACCATACAGTATTAAGAAAAAGCCTTGCAATAAAGGCACGTGGTGTTGATGATATTGACAAATTTTTTCTTCTCACCACTGATCTCCTTGGCTCTATTTTTGCTGTGCATTGAGCTTCAACATTTCATGGTCAATGAGTTTAATCTGCATTTCCCTCTTTGTGCAGTACCTAGCTCACTACCTTGGGGAATGGGCCAGATATCAAATAACTGGAAGTAAATATATTCCTGAGTTTCTGCACTGTATCACATTTTGTTAATAATGATCCATTAAATCCTAAAGTCTTTTTCACCCACATGCCGTCCTTTCTTTTCAAAATTATGTATTTCCAGTCTTACACAAAGCAGCGATGTGCAACAATGTCATTATTGCTTAATTTCAAATTCTTCCCTCCCTTGGAAGAAATATTTTCCTTCTACAGTAGCAAACCTATCTCTCCTTGGTTCACTTTGGCACAGAGACAAAAGCAGGCTGCCTCAGGGTGACATATATGTTTTCAGCAGCTCCTGTATTTATGACTCTGTTTTCTTTTTCCCAGTTCACAAACCAAAATAACGATCCTTCCCAGAGTGCAATTAAGGACTTTTTGTACACCAGGAGAATCCACAGTAAACCTTACAAGAACATAAATGCTAGAGCCAGAAAGAAGGACCCCAAACACATTTTCTTTGTATAATATTTTTAAAATGTATTACAAAATTACAGTTTCAATAAAGAAGTAGAAAAATAAGAAATTATTTGGAAAGTCCTTGTGAAATACAAGCACTTTCTCAAAAGGCATTAAATATCCAAACTACCACACATAAACGATCCTAGCATTCAGTGAACTATTGAGACAGTCCCAATAATATATTGGAGAGGAGTTTTAAAAAAAGAGAGAAGTGTATTTTCACTAAAAGGTCTGTCTCAAACTGGGGAAAGCCAGGTCTCAATTGCCATTGTGGAATCCAGCTTCACTTGTGTCAATATCATGTTCCTTAGGTAAGGGAAGAGGAGAAAAAAAAAAAAGAAGAAAAATAAGAATTTTTACAATAGGGTAGAACTGTCCGATTTTTTGGCTTAACTAGAATATTTGAGAAATAGGGAATACTTGTTAACACAAACAGGTGATCTGTTAATATGCTCCAAACAGACTTCAAAGTACCAAATTTACTATGAAGAATTATTTCAGCATGGAACTGCTCCTGAGTAACAATGCTGGTTTCACTTCTGCACTGCAGCAGTGGCAAGAGCTGTGAACACTCCTGAGGGCACACTGCTTTTACTCAGGCATCATTAATGAATTGGATTTAGCTGAAATTACCAGAACTACCTTGGCATGTATTAATCCCCCCATTAAAATAAAAACTTAATTAACTGAGCACTACACATTCGATACAGATTACTAGTAGTAAGTACTGTGGATCACACTTCACTGGTCTAATTTATTGCACAACAAATGTCTTACATCTTAGGCCTCTTGCCTGCGACAGGTGTAGCTGCTACAAAGACACACCAGCCTCAGTGCTGCTACTACCAATTATTCACTTCTAATTTTGTTATTAAAAATACCTGATTCAGTTTCTTAAACTCAACCACTTGGAAGAAGATGTGCTCCAGGATATATTTGGTATCTTGCTTCTCCTTCGGGAGTTTGCTTGTCACTCCCAGGATATCGCCACATTTTCGTACATAGAATTCCAGGTCATCATCAGTACCTAAACAGGCACCCAGGGAAGAAGGCAGGTGAGTATCACACATATCTGGATCAGCTGGCAAAAAACTACTACAAATCTTCATTTGTTGTTGGCATTCGGTGAAGTTTAGTCCTATAACTAAGCTCAGCGGACTAGCTGTGAAGTCCTCCTGCAGCTGGCACCTTCTCGTCTTCTTTAGGCTTAAGAATGTTTAGAATAACATTTTAACTTCAAAGCATAAAAAGATGTGACATTATTCAGTGAGAGCACACAAAGCAATTTACACACGGTGTAGGAAACAGCAGGCAGAAGCATGATAAAATGTCACGTAACAAACAAAATAAAATGTCACAAGTGCATAAAGCCATGTTATCGATTGCCATGAGCTTCCAGTTTCCTGGATCAAGATGAAAGCAGTGGATTTTCAAAACTGAAGTCCATGTTTTAAAATTAAATATAACAACAATTTTCCCCTAAAAACTTGGATTTTATACATAAATGTGTAAACAACCAGTCTGCTTCACTCACATTTGTTTGTGATCTCTGCAAGACGAGCTTTCTCAGAGGAAAAGGTTTCATCTAAGTCAAACAGTTCCAGAGGGGGAGGAGGCAATTCTCTGAAAGCAGGTGGAAAAACCTTGAAGACAAGAAGTAGCGTGGTTTATTGCCACATATTTTCTTACACTTTACGGATCTCTAAGACAACAGTTTTGGACTTAGACTGGACTTGAAGAAATCTTTTACATAAAAGCACCTCCAAAGCCCACAGCACAAAGGGACACTTTTTTGAAAATTCCATTTATATTTTGTGACTAATCTGTTGAAATATTCAGTTATTATTACAAGCATGTCAGAATTATCACCCAGCATGACAACTAGACATACCACATTTGCAGTTTCTGTTTTGCTCCATAAGACCTAGGTGTTGGCTGAGATAGCTGAGGAACTAAGCTCCCCATAACAGCTCACCTTGGAAACATATTCACGTCAATTCTGGTAAGAGTATTTTCTTTTTCATGCAGTCACTACCTATGGCATAAGCTGGACTTAGGTTTTCAAAGAGCAGTGCATTCAGTTGCACCCCTGCAGCTGTAAGGATTCCAGTACTGCTTTTTCAGTGGCCAGGGTAAAGAAGGATAGAGCCATGACAGCAAAACTCAGACAGAGATTCCTGCTTTTTGAAAACAGTTTGACACCATCGTAGCTCGTGTTGCTTTCAGCCCAAATCTCTGTTGGCAAAAGTTTGATCAGCTCTTGCTGTAAAAGACTCCACTTTCTACTTCCCCTGAAGATGTGGAGATGGAAGCAGAGCAGGACAGACTGGCTCCTCCCTGGAAGCAGTCAGCGTAGTTCTTAGACCACTGCCTTCTGAGATACCACATCCTGTTTTCACAGCAAAGGCTGAGCCAGTAGCCTCTCAATTAAAGGCTTAGACACACATGGCATTCTGCTATGGCACCACATACTACATTTTGAAGCTCTGTTGATAAGTGTAAATAAGTGTTCTTTCCTAAAAGATAGTCCCTAAAGTGTATTCAACTCCCAAGCGATTAATTATTACTACAGCATTTCTCACTTAAAAAAAAAAAAAAACACAACAAAAAAACTACAGAAATGACACACAGAGGTTTTGCATGAAACAAATGAACCACAGAATCATCAGGGTTGGAAAAGGCCTCCAAGACAATCAACCCCAACCTTCATGGAGAAGGGTTCTCCCTGAGCTGCATGAGCAAGGAGGTTACTCACAGCTGGCTGGAGGACAGGTAGTGGAGTCTCAAATTGAGGCTGAATGAGTTGGAGGCGTTCATGTTTCACATTCAGCTCTTCATAAGCTCTGCAGCACAGAAAAAGACAAAGTATGAAGGGAAAAATAATTATATAACATCCATTTCCACTTGCAGGCTATAGAGATGGATTTTTATGAATACACCAGGGTCAATGTTATGCACAGTAACAGCATAAAAAAATGGGATGTCCATTTTAGAAGGACCTCAGAGAACTACGTATCAGTAATAACTGACTTCTATAGTGAGAAAATTAGCTAAAATTATGACAGAGGAAGACGATAGGTGGATATAGAAAATGCTGAAAAAGAAGGCAGTCACATGTCAATTCTTCAAGCAACTTTCAAAGGGACAAACATGAATGAAGAAAAAGTGATCTAGTTCAAAAAAAGCAGAATTGTGATTTCAAAAAGGTTTTTCAGGAAGTCCGTAACTAAAAGTTATTTTTAAAAAAATATTTGTTATGGGATCAGAAGGGAGATCTCACTATCAATTCACAACTAGTGAAAGTACAAGAAATACAGAGTAAGAAGAAAGAGTGTCCACAACAGAGTGCAGTTTCATGGAGTCTGTGTTAAGCTGCCACTACTCAGCATGTTCAGATCTGGCTAACAGAGGAGTTATGACGGACAAAGCTGCTAGTGACACGAACTGGTAAAACTGAGCAGCTGACAAATCTCAAGACACAGTTACTGGGAAATGCAAGGGTGAATGAAACGCAGTTTTCAGTAAGTGCCGAGTAATTCAAAAGTGGAAAAATGACCAGCTCTCAGTTATCACTCCAGAAAGTGTCCAACATCACTGCAGCCAGTTCTACTGCAACTATCAGATCACTGAATCAGAAGTAGTCAGAAAAAAAAGGAGAAAAGAAGGTCAGAAATTACAGCTAAGACAAGAAGCAAGAGAAAACATCATTGTCACACTGTACAAATCCATCTTCTGGTATATCCATATTCAGAATGCTGCTTACAGCTCAGCCCCTTCTGCTCTTAAGGAGACACAGTTAAATACAAACAGAAAATGCAGAGTACAGAATGGAATAAATAAATAAGAAAATCACAGCTGCTGACTTGATAACTGAAGGGAGGGCAGTTGTATCCAGCTGATAAAGGGATGTATCAAACAGCTTTGTGAAGTCTCTTGGGTTCTCATCTCCTTCTTGTAGGCAGACTCGCAGTTGCTCAGACAGTGCAGCTGTGTCTGGGAGCATGGTATAGTCTGAAATCTGAACACAGATACGGACATCTGGGATTTAAAACGGCCAACCTCTTCACACAGTCTCTTTCTAGTTTATAACTCACCTAAAATCTCATCTAGAAATAATTATTTCACTCTTTACCACGTAAGGCTCTTTGCAGTGCAGCTCATTAGATCAGGAACTGTCCAAACTCTATTCTGTTGCTGTAAAGCTATTCCCTATACGGATGTTTCATCTGTTGATTCTTTAACATTAAAAGAGTCAGCTTACTAGTCAACTGTGCAAGACTTGTTCTTTTATGCACTCAAGAATATACAGTTTTATCACATATGCTATTTCCAAATAAAAATAGCATTTGTATACATCAGTTAAAAAACCAACTAAAATTGACATACAATTTGATCTCTACTCATATACAGAGAATCTACCTTCACTTCCTGCACATTCCTCTTGTCTTAGGGCTCAGAGCGAATTTCAAACTTATTACCCTGGAGCAGCAAATGATCTCATAGAGATGGGCAAATTGGAAAGAGATTTTCACAAATGCAATGTGATAATGAAGAGCAACCTAAGTCTAAGAGATATGAATATTTTTTACTTTGGAGCCACCTGTCTACTCAGACCCTGAATTAAGGTTCTGCAACAGCAGCAGCACCCATCTTGCTGTTAACCATTCTGTGCTAAATACAGGGTGTGCCAAAACTGATCACACTATTCTTTACCTCCTTGTGGACCTCTCTTACCTCAGGGTCCTCCATATCCATCTGGTTTAAGTGGATCTCTGATGTTGTGAGCCACTGGAAAAGCACATCCTGAAGAAGGGCAAAACTTAATTATTTTCAGGAGGATCCAAGTAATCTCATACTAGGCTTAAACATTCATATTAAATCTATTAAATAACATACCATGAAAAATAAGACAAAATAGGTAATAAACCAAAGCATATCTGCTAGTATTGGATTAGAATCTCCATACTGAATCCATTTCACAGCTGTCTTGCTCTAAAACAAAGCTACGGAGCCTGGAGTGCTTTGGAAGTGCTGTGAAGATCCGCTAAGGTGTTTTTAAATAAAAACCCAACCCAAAACCCCCACCCAACTTACCATGATCTTACCATTTTCTTCTTTATCTAAATATTGATCACTGAACATGTGGGAAGATCCCAATGCTGCCATCTTTCCACCTTGACTCTATCAACAAAGAAGATAATTTAGCAAAAACTCCTTCCAAATCACAGTTTTAGAGATAACTGTTATTGCTTTATTAACTTTCCGCAACCCATTCTTCAATGTTCAGTATGTAAATATAGAGGCCAGTGGCACGCATGCAGGTCAAAATAGCACATCTTCATGTCAACTAATGAGAGAAGAGTTTGACAGTTCTATTATTTGTAAGATAAAATGTAAAATATACATGTCATTATATTTTAATTATGCTAAAGTAAACATGCATGAAAATCCATTCATGAAACACCTTTGGAATTCTTCTCTAAGATTACCACTCCCACAAGGACATACATTAGAAGAAGTTTTCAACAAAACAGAAACCCTGAAATGTTCCCTGCACCAGCTGTGAAACTCATACCATAATACAACCACAGATACTGCTGTAATGAATTTGAAGATACATCAAATAAAGCTCCAGTTTGTTTAACAAATTTCGGATGTTTCACACTCCATGATTCGCAGTTTTAAGCTAATTCTACATGCTTCACCCACAACTGGGTAGATCCTCTTCTCTTACTTTCCATTTCTTCACTTTCTGTTGCTATTCTTTATCACACCTCTTTTCCAATCTAAGAAATCTTGTTTTCCTGCTACCAAGTTTCTCCCTTGGGATATCTTACTATGACAGCTGCAGACAAAATGCAAGTAGCAAGTGTTCTTGTAAGTTCACTTCATGCCGCTGTATTGGCTTTGATTTACACAGTTCATTTCAGCCACAATAGGGGGGGATGAAGTTGGGCATCCTCAAGGAAGAAAAAAATCCCCTTCCTAACAAAGATATCAGAAAACCACAAGAAATTCACCTACATAGTAAGAAATGTGTAAATTTGTTCACATTCACTAACAATATCAATCCTTTGTTTGTACTTATCCACTATTACTAGATTTCTGAATTTGTTTTTATAAAGTAACAGGTCTGGATGAGTAAGATAACATGAAAAATCTACTGGATCCAAGGTGACAGTAATTAATTCGGTATGGTGTATTTACAGAGCTAATGATAGTCTTACTCAATAAATTATCACTAAAAGGGTAGGAAAAAACCCCAAACTTTAATGAAGAACTAAATATATCCATCTGTCAACCAAAAAAATATGTAATCTTTGCTGACCATCAAATTAATTCTACTCTGAGCCCCATGCAAAGGAGTTTACCATAAAAAGAGGCAGGAGTCATTGGCTCATCTAAAGTTTGCAGATGCATCAAAAGATAGACATGGGTTTGTAAGTACTCCCAGAGGACACACTCCCAATTTTTGTGGGTGGAATGCAGGGCATGTCACAGGCAGAATCCTACCTCATGCTGATAGAAAGCCAGAATAGGCCTGTTGAGTGGGAAGCAGATGGATCCTGTTGACAGAATTGCCACTGCTGGTTTCATCACATTCAGTGTGGCTCCAAAAGGATACACAAAAGTGAGAGCACTGGAGGAAATACAAAAACTCCCTAAGTACCTGCACGTATAAGGCAGGCTGGACATATTTATAAAACTCAAAGTGCAAACTGCAATTGTGCACTGGTGGTGGAAAGCCAAAGCCTTGCTTCCAACATGCAGATCCTTGTAACCACATTTCAGTCTCTCTCTACAGGTTTCTCCAGGTTAAAGAATTGTCTTAAATAAGGAACAAAGAACACTCTTGATTTCTGTTTGCACGCTCCTGCACCTGAGAGAAGCAGAGGGGTATCTAACTCACAGATTGATATATAGTTTGGAACAAAACTAGATAAAATGTTTTTATACTTCCACTTTCCTTTGTAATCAACCACAGGGTCATTTCTTAGTCTAAAAACTAGCCACAAGGAAGAATACAAACATTTACAGTTATTTATGGAAAAGCTGTGTTCTTCTCACTGCCTTTTCACTTCTTTATCTTACCCTGGATTAAGATTCTTTAAAAAGATGAAGCCTTGCTATGCCTGCAGCCAGACCACCTGCTATCTACAGGTTATTCATATTTACATTTCTTAATCAAATTCAAACTCACAGACTAGGGGCAAAAAAGATCGGATCATGAGAGAATTTCTGTCCAAAACTGTCACTCCTGCTCCTTCAGTGGTTATCAAGCAGTACTAAACAGATTCTCCTTTCCAGATATAACCTAAGAAGCTGGCATAAGAAATGCATTAGAGAACCTCAACACAAGCACAACAAACTGCTGCTGATCACGAACCTGCTAATTCTGAGTTATTCTACATATTTTCACATCAGTTTCCTCACAGAAAAACACTTACTGTGAGTCATGCCCGCTTCCATCTTCATCTGTTGTCTCAAGCACTGTTTTTCTTGCAGCTTCACAGATTCCCCTGCAAGATGTTGAAAAGCAAAACTTACTGAAAAGAATACAAATTACAAGAGTTTATTGTAAAGATTTATATACTACAAATATTTACCTGTTCAAAACTCCATCAGAAATTAGTGCTTCTTTTGGGTGATGGTACTTATAATATACATTTCGTACTACAGCATCTTGAAGAAAGAAAAAACATAGAAATTTACACCTGAGCTGATGAGTATACTAGACATAGCAGAAAAATTAGTTTAGCTCTTGGATTCCCTGGGTGTTTGCTTCCAGCACCACAAAGCTGGCATTTGGTTCCCAAAAGAATTCAAATCAGCCTTCACTGATAAATAATATGAGAAAATAAGCCCATCTCCACCTTCTGCAAAGCAGAAGAGGCAAAAGGATGATCCAGTTAAAACAGCATTTAACAAGTTTTACAACTTGAAATTCTATTTTTTTTAGTGTATCTTCCAAACCAGGATAAATTAAATCCCATTGATACAAAAAAAGGTACCGTTTAGAAAAGCCACCAAAGACCCTAAAAATATTTTAGATACACTGAGATACAGTTGACTTAGGTTGGTTGGTTGTTTTTTTTTTTTCCACACTGAATGACATTTTATTGGTCTGCTAAAGAAAAGTGACACACTTTGTTCAGGGTGAGGATGAAGTGATTCAATTCATTAAAATGTGTGGAAAATGTCTTAAATGAAAGGCTTTCTAATCAAGAAACATCACTAGAATTATTTTTTGTTAGTAAATACCATTAACGCTAACAACTACAGCAAAGGAATGGAAATGGCTCAGTTGTTATCCATGTACTCTGCCCATGGAAAGCTCTCGGTATGCTCCAGTATTTCGGTATGCTCGGTATGCTCCTGCCAGGTACATGTAAATTTAAAGAAAAAACATCTTTTAGACCAAGGGATACTTTGTATGAGGGATTTTCTTGGCTTATATCTACAAAGTCTAAACCTGTTCTTTAGATTTTGCTGAAAACAGATGAATAAAAGCTGTCAGTAAGCCCCATTACCATTATTGAATATGATCCCATATTCTTCTAACAAGAAGTTAATATTTGTGCCATTGCGGGACTCTCCACCTTCCCTGAGCATCACCAGGATGGCTCCACCATCCTCCAGGAATTTCTTCAGAACGGAAAACTAGAAGACAACAAAGATCCAGGAAAAAAAAAAAACACATGAAAGAAGATACACACAAGACTGCAGGAAGTTATAGTGAGATGAGGGAAGGTAAAGGATTCTGACTGTTTGCAATTAACTTGATCCTGTGAGAAAAATATTCAAATTTCAACTTGTATAAATTCATCTAAAGCAGTACAACTGCAGTCTTCTGTGTTGTTCTTTTCTATTTAAGTAAATCTTAAACCAAAACTAATTTGAAAACAGTTATTGATGTCCTACCTCATCAGCACTGAACTTCTCTCTTGGCCCTGCTGTAATCCACAGTTTTACTCCAAACAGTTTCTCCGATGTGATCTCATCTTTTAAGCTATGAATAGATTAATAAAGGCACATGCTATTCTTGGATACAGTTTGGAAACACAACTTTTTTCTTTTGTTTCTTAAAGGACTGGTAAATCACTTCAGTCACTTCATATCCTTTCATCTGGGTTTAAAGTTGACAGCACGAGCAAAAACAATCCTTACAATTGTCAACCAGCTAAACAGTAAAGCTCCTCTAACAAGGTACTGTGGCAGATCCAGAACTGCTATAAACTGTCACAGCTGCTATTAAACTTTGCACCTGAGGAGCTTCCTCTTGTTCTTTTCATTCTTTTTCTTCTTTTTGCTCTGGATACATTTCATACAATCACAGAATATCCCAAGCAGGAAGGGACCCACAAGGGTCATCAAGTCCAGCTCCTGGCCCCGCATAGGACACCCCAACAATCCCACTATGTCCCTGAGAGTGTTGTCCAAACACTCCTTGAGCTCTGGCAGCCTTGGGGCTGTGATCACTGTTTAGGGGATCCTGTTCAGGGCCCAACCACCCTATGGGGGAAGAACCTTTTCCTGATATCCAGCCTAACCCCCTCCTAAACAGTTTGACACCATTTTGTAGCGAACGAGTAAACAATATCATCTGCATAAAGGCTGTTTTCTTTTACCCCCCAAACTCCAAACCCAGACTCAAAAACACGTATGATGAATTTCAACCTTTTAACTTACACTCTATCTCTTCCACAGGCAAGGCAGCTGGAAGCTCCAAAGAACCGCACTGAGCATCCCACAGCGACAGAACAGCTGATACCACAGGGCAATTAATGCAAGAGAGCGACCTTAGCTCATGAGATACATCTCATGAAGGATGGGACTGGCCAGGGCTCTGAACAACCTGGTCCAGTGGAAGGTGTCCCTGTCCATGGCAGGGGGTCGGAACAAGATGTTCAAGGTCCCTTCCGACCCATACCATTCTACGATTCTACGGTCCCCAAAGACTATTCGGGCACTCAACGCGGATCACACACACCCGTGGAGATCTGTCTGTCCCCTCACAGCCGCCCCTCACCTCAGCACCTTCCAGTTCCCGCGCAGCCGCTTCCGCAAGGCCTTGTAGCCGCCGGCCGGCGTGAAGCTCTCCCCCTTGGACGCGTTGAACACTATGGCATTGCGCGGGCCGCTCTCCATAGGCTCCCCGGGGGCTACCGAAGGGCTCCAGCTCCGGGGGGGGGAGCGGGGAACCCTCAGCGCCCGGCTTTCTCCGAGGTGTCCCGCCGTGTCCCCAGCGGGACGCGGCGGCACCACCTGCGCTCCTCCCCTAGCAACGCGCCCGGCGGACGCATGCGCGCGTCTCTCCGCCCCCTTCCGCGCGAGTGCAAAGGTCGCCTCAGGGGTTCCCTCTTTTCCCCGCCTGGGAAAGGGATGGCACGGGACCACTGTGGTCGGCTGCGGTGGGGAGCTGCCTGTCCGCTCTCCCTCTGCCCGAGCCCTCCGCACCGGTCCTGTCAGCGCCCAGGGCAGGCCCGTGACCGCACTGCCACCCTTCAGCCGCCGCAGCTTTCTGGGCCTTGGACACCAGTAAAATCAAAATCCCGGTCCTGACGCCTGCAGGCTCTTCCCTGTAAGGGTGGTGAGGCCCTAGCACAGGTTACCCAGAGAAGCTGTGGCTGCCCCATCCCTGGGAATGTTCAAGGCCAGGCTGGACAGGGCTTAGAGCATCCTGATCTAGAGGGGCTTGAAGGCTCCTTCCAACCCACACCATCATATGATTCTATGATTAACCTATTTCTTCCTCTTTAAACTTAAACCCAGCAGTTTTAGTGACTTTATGCATGCAGGTAAGTGCTCTCACACACAGCATAGACCAACCACCCTCCCACCCTGCTCCCTCCCCCCCTCACACCTCCAGGACAGCCATATGGACTCACATCAGTGTTTGCACTTTAATATAAACCATGTCATATTCCCGATGACTTCAGCATACACAAGATAAAGTCCAATTAAAAAAAAAAAAATGTTCCAGCACAAGCTTCCCCACAGCATGAGCACCACACAACTTGCAGAAAGTCCCTTGTTTATCCCTGGGTTACAGTGGAAGCTCTAAGATCCCCCTCTTTTCCCCACAGCAACAAAATAAAACAGCTTAAAAAAAGAAAAAGTGGGAAGTGACATTCAATGAATACACCAGCATTTAAATTAAGGCAGAATAAATAACTGTTCTACATCAGTGATGGGTGTTTTCAGATGAGTACTGGAGCCTGGAGCAGCACTGCTGGCCACCCTTTGCTGTGCACTATCCTGTACTCCACGTGCTCCTCACAGTTGTGTTGGTGTGTCATGGGCAAGTCAAGCACATGCTGTGAAAGACACCCCCCACCCCAAGCAGGGTTCAGCCATAGAGTTATTTTTCCAAGTAATTCAGCCTCTTCCCCACCCCTTTGATCTGGGATATTCCTCCCACACATTGGCTCCTCCATAACAGCCTCCTTAGTGCTTCAGCAGCATCCTAATTCACCCAGAGAGATGATCCACTCACCTTGGGGAGAGACTGGCTGGCATCAAAGGCCCCAGTGCAGTTCAGGATTCGCAGACCTGCAGCTGCCTTTGGAGCAACAATTGGTGAACAGTTTTCCCTCAGCCCAGCTCAGCCCAGGATTAGTGGCTTAAGTGACACAGTCTACTTAAAGGAAGGAAGCCAATATTCATGGCTGTGTGAAGAATTCCCTTCTCAGTTGAGTAGGCGGGCAAAGCAGTTGGACAGAGCTGGGCACAGCTCCCCAACAAAAACAAAAAAGAAAAACAAAGGGGAAAAAGGTGGCCAGTTACAGGGACATGGCTGTTGATGTGAATGATGGCACATACCTTGACCATAAATACAACCACAGGGTGAATACAGTCCTGCCAAGTAGCACAAGACACTCAGGGGAAAAACCATAATCAGTGTCCCACTTTCTCTGCCAGGGAAACAGTCCTGGCAGGGAAATATTTGGGGGAAGTCCACCAAACAGCAAAAGTTGAGCTCTGTTCCATCCCAGCCAGTTAGTGTGTTAGTCCCAATTTCCTTAAGCCATGAGCAAAGGACAAAATCCTCTCGAAAAACCAACAGAAAACAAACAAACAAACAAAAAAACCCCAAACCCAGTCAAAACCAAAAAAACCCAAAACCATAAAACCTATTTATTTAAAATCTGTCTTCTCAAAGCCTTTGTAAAACTTAGATGTCCTCTTCAGTTGGTGCATAAGAAAATCCTAAAAATGCATCTGAGGCACTGGAGCTGCTGGCTGCTAGGTCAGGTGTGTGGGTGATGGAGGCAGAGATTGCTTCTTGGGTGAACTCTGGATCAAAGTGTCGCAGATCAGCTGGACCAGCCTAAGCCAAGGAGCAGAGACACACTGTCATTTCGAGTGAACAGAACCCAGCCCCTTGTGTTCAGACAGTCCAACACAGCTGCTCTTCCGGAAGAGCCATCAGCACTGCATTTACTGTTCCTAGTCCACACCTCAGAACCCCCAGTGTCAGCGTAAGGCATCTACAGAGGGTCCCTTTTGTACTCCTATATATAAGAAAACAGAAACGCCCACTTACCACATTGGGGTTGAATGGAGGGGTAATCCTCTTGTGGTACAAATCATCCCAGTTTATTGGGCTGAAGAATACATGGTTCTTTATCTCAAGCTGCATAGAAAGCAGGGGGAAATGTTAGACTTCTGCCAACCCTCCTTTTCCAGCACCTGCCAGCTGGTCTCACAACATTAAAGAGTTGAAGCATGACTTGGAGCTACCACATACTCATGCCCACAAATCCTTAATACATGAGGGTCACGGTCCAGTAATCCCTTGAAGGGAAATGACCCATCACACATTGGTATGCCTAGTTTGCCATCACACCTTTCCCTCTGGAAATCCAAGACAACCTCATATGCCCCTTTTAGGGGGCTGGAGGGACACACTGCATGGAAAGCTTTATCCAAGGCAGTGGTGTTATCATAAAAGAAAGGCTCAGAATAGAAAGCTTTCCTATCTATTCTCCCTCCTGATCATAGTGGAGGCTACCTACAAAGTCTGCTTTGGCACCCAGCCTCCTCTTCTGCTCCTTGTGGAGGAGTCCCTGGAGGATATCACAAGCTGCTACCGTCTTGGTTCCCTGGATCTGGAGTGGCTTGTGCAGAATGTTGTCATACATCTGAGACACATCCCGGCTGTAAAAAGGAGGCTGATTTGAAAGAGAGGAGAAGCAGCCAGGTAAAACATGAGCTACCATAAGGAACCACACATTGCAGATCAAAAATGACACCTGCTGTGAGTAGACGAGGGAGACCTGACACGTCTCTGCTCAAAAGTGCAATGGTATGATTAAACCAGGTCATCTAATTCAGGATTTAGTCATCTATCAAATACCATGTGAGCACCAGACCAACCTCACACCACAGCTTTTGAAAATAAGTTCTCTGCCATGTAAAGTAAAAGAGACCATTTCTAAACTTACCAGTCCGAACAGCATTTCATAGAGGACAGCTCCTAGACACCACCAGTCTACTGTCCTGTCATAGGGCTGCTTCTTTAACACCTCAGGAGCCAGGTACTGGGAAGTCAGAAGCAAACATTTGAGTCAAGTTATAAAGAAGGGCTTTGCCCTTGTAAGTCACAAATCTGGCTGTGGCTCAAGCTGAGTAAATGCATTAGGAAGCACACAGGTGCAGCCCCCAGTGTTCTTCCAGACTACCAAAGGTTTTCTTGCTGTAGAGGACTTGTACAAGGATTTGCCACCCATCACAATTCAACCAGCAAACCTGTCCCGCACTGACACATCACATCCCTAAGAGGCTAATGTGGTTTTGAAAAAGCTGCTGTTTTCAGTCCCAGCAAGTCTGTCCAAAACAGCAAAACTACCAATAACCACCACCAAGGGGCAACAGGCAAGAATTTGAGCAGTCTGCAGAATAAACAGCCTCCCACAGAATTATCTCTATGTACTATCAGGTTCTGTCTAGAACAGGAAGACACCAACACACATGAAAACTAGAAAACAAAGCTCAAACATTCCTGCTTGGTTCATGCTGTGCTATTGCATAAGAGGCAATTTCCTGCCCACTTCTGCTGAGCTTGAAAACTGGAAGGTGTGCTGTTCACAAACCCTCCTTCAAGCTGTCTAGGAAGAGCAGCAGGACAGATGTATTACCTAGGCTGAAGTGTTACCAAAATCCTCAGCTCAGTAAGAAGAAGGAAAAAAGCCTCCAAGAAGCCAAACTGGAAACAGGTTTTCACAAAACCTGGTTGGGGGACATGGGAGAAAAGACATTTCTTCCCTTCTGAGCAATGTTCACATTCCAGAGGGGAGCCTGGTCCTCTCCTCTGCACAGGGCATTTTGCAACTCATGCATACCAAGTACACATAGGAGAGCACAGCAAGGTCGGGTGCATGTCAGCAGCAGCAGGCTCCCTGTTTTGCAGCTCCAGGGTATTGGAGCAGGTAAACAGCCTGCTCACAGGCTCCCAGCATCAAGGTTGCCTCCACAGATACCTGAAACAGCTGCAGTTTCACAAGTCTGGCCATTTCCGAGTGCAGGGATCCCTGCCCTTGATAGCACAGCAATGTCAGAGTTTAGCTGTTACAGATAAAACCATCTCCGATGAGTAGGGAAGGCCTTACTTGAACTCCAGTTTCAGGCCAACAACCTCAAAGATCCCAAGGCAGTCCAATTTAGAGTCCATATTTTGAGATGCTACATAAGCCCAAGACTCAGAGCAGCAAGTCACAGCAAAGCCCCAGCATATGCTGTACCTCAGGAGTGCCACAAAAAGTAGAAGTTGTCTCCTCTTGCTCCATTCCTTCTTTGCACAGTCCGAAGTCTGTCAATACTATGTGTCCCTAAAGAAGAGAGAAGTTTCAGCCTGGCTCACTCTTCCTAGAGAGGAGACAGGGTTTCCAAGTATTTGCCTTCACATTGCATCTCATGGGGGTTTTAGTTCCCCACTGCTCATCTCTCTCTGCTCCCTCCCCTATGGACATCCTATAGCACAAGTACAGGAGCCTATAGAGAAAGTACAGTCTGGATGGTTTTTTTTCTGTTTGTTTTATTTGTCTACAACCAGATAACTATGAAGAGATCCAGCACTTCTGTGCTTTGCTGCTGCTTTATCCCAGAGATTGTTTAATAGTGCTCACCACCAGAGTAGCAGCAGTGACCTGTTCTTCACATCCCTGATCCCTGCCCACAAGTCAGGTCCCAGCTTTTGGGAATGAGCCCAGCCTCACAGTGTATGCAGTTCTGCAGAGGGCAGGCTCAATCCCCCTTGCAGGATCTGCAGTGGGGCAGACATACAAAATCCATGCCATGAT